AATTTTGCAAAAACATGGGATTGATTTGATTCAACGCTGTCAGTGACCAAAAATGTGGGGGAAAATTGCTCCCACTTTCACATTCAAAATAACACAAAATCCCAAACAAATTGAAGAAAATTCTAAACTTGCCTAGAGTCTACTTACTCATAAAGCTCTTGCAATTGTGTTTCATTAAGTGCTGTCATATTTGGAGCTGTTCCTGAACTTACAAATGAGTCTGTCATACCACCAAAAACGATAATCATAAGAGGCCAAGTCAGCCCATGTATGAAAGCAGCTATGAGACCAATAGCTAACAAAAAGATATCAAAACACTTTGCGAACCGGAACTGAAAACACAAAGAAAATGTTATCAATATATTGTAAAATTAATTTGTGCACTGTGAACAAAATTATTCTACTTCAGATAATTAAGAAATATTATCAAAGAAACGCTGGTATTGTCAAGTTCAAACACTACCTGGAGATGAACACAAGAAAGATTCCTCTCTATCATTGTTAAGTAAACTATAGACTAAAGGCAGGAAAGTTAAAGCCACTTGTCATGATTAATTCACCATAATAAATACAATGTGTTTGATCCATCCTGGTTGATGCCATGATATTGCATTAAATTGCAATAGATGAGTTCTAGGTCATGTTCAACATCAGTTTTTTTGTAAGTTGAATTTATATCGCTTGTGTGTTGTCCCCAGAAACACTTTACAAGGCATATATGGATACCATAAGAATATAAATTATATTTTGTGCATATTCTTTTTGAGTGTATGAATGTAAAATAGATGGTAATTAAGCAACCAAAACACTTTGGAAACCCAAAACAAGTCTATTGAAAGATACACTATAGTTTCAAACATGGTAATGGTTTCTGTGATAAAATTACCATTGACACAATTTCTCATAAAAAAACAAATATTATGCCAAAAATCCAAAATATATAAAGTTATATTTATAAATTACCAGTTGTCCAAATCCAACCATCTTTACTTTCACTTCTTCATCTTTATCACTTTTTCTGTGGAGTAAAATTACAAATATTGTCATTTTGCATCTGGCTTGGGGGTTTCAGCTGTATTTTCAGTGTATGGTTATTTTTCTCAGTCATGCTAAAGGGTTTCAGTGTATCACAGCCAATCCGGGGTATGTAAGTGCTTTAAGAGTACCATATTCTTATTTTACTCAGTCATGCTGGGCAGATAATTTCCTCGGGATTAAAGGTGTAATTATCATAGGTGTTGAATAGTTAGCTCAATGTTCTATATTACACATAAGTATATGACTTGTATTATTAATATAAACATACTTGGGTTCTTGCTCTTTATCTTGCTCTGTATTGTTATCATGAACAGTTACAGCATGGTTTGATGCACCATTACTAGGTATGGTAGTGACAGGTAGAACAGCAGGACTGTTATCTCCTGTCTGACTGACAGCGTCTTCATAAGATGGTGGGTTTCCATTCTCTGAAGACAACCAAATCAAATAAAGAAAACAAAGTATGATATCATTGCATGTATCACCACTGAGGGTGCTATACACCAGTTACTGATAATGTTCCAGTACATTCACACACAGTGAGGCAGGTCATATTATACGTCTACAAATATCTTTCATTATACATAATATTCATGCAGTATATTCTATACACTGGAGACTTACCTGTCATTTCGACACCTTCATCAACTTTGTTGCCTTTCATATCTTGATTTTTCAAATTCTATATTGCTACAAAAAGAAAACACAAATTCACTCCTCGAACGCCAAAGTCAGGTTTTGTCACCATTCACAAATTAGGTCTATGCACTATCTATGCATGTTCATTAGGTAGTTTGCATATCATTCACCCTTTGAAAACATTCAAATGGTTACCATAATAATTATAACTTTCTAATAATACAGCTCTTTCAGAAACGGGATACAATATATCTAACCACATAGATTACATCTACAACAAAAGAGGTGTTTCCACTACGGCACCAAGTGAGGTTTGTTTTGTCTGATGTGACTGAACTTATAAACGAACTGTTGATTAACCTATGATTTAAACACACAGTGAATGTTTGTAAAAGCCATTAATTTCAAAACTTAAAAAGATTGTCAGTGTCTGATGGTTGTGTGAGTTTATGTTGTATGTAATCCCTTCTCACTTTTGGTGTTTACATGTTTTATGTACCTATTCTACTAAATACTCTTATCAGTATTTATCTCAGTCGAGGCTGCAATTCGGACACTGATGTTGAAAGAACTGTAAATTGTACATTTAAATTAATTGAATCTAAATAAAATCAATTTTTATAAATTTAAATAAAATCCTCCACAAAGACTTGCAGCAAAAGTTGCATCAGGATTGCATCTAATCTATCAATATTAATCATTAACCCATTTTAGTGCAACCTGTGCTTGTGTTACAGTTGTTACAAATTTGCTTGTTGGTATGAAATAAATGTTTGTATTTGATGTACCGGTATGTGATGTGCTATCTCTGCTATCACTGGCCGGCAAAAAAATAATGAGGATGTATTGCAATGTGGCAGATGGTACATGTACATGAGGCTGCTATTCTAAGAGCAGTAAGGCTTATGAAAATGTTTCTGATGAACCAAGCAACTTGAAGGCCCAAGTATTTATACGCTTCTAAGTTATAGGGGTTATTTCCTTGCAAGTCACGCTGTATTAAACAGTTCTAGCCAAGCTTCGGTAAAATCATGTTTGTTTTTTTCAAATATAGATTAATTGTGTAGTACTGAAGTGGATATACATTGTATTTAAAACCAGTTGTGATTTTGATGAATAAAGGTTGAAAAAGTTAACCAGTAAAGAGACGCTGAGCTTGAATAAGTAATTGCAGTCAATCAATTTCATGTGATGTGAAATTGCTGAAATAGGATGTATCAGTCTAATCTTAACAAATATTTACACAGTAAGAAAATTTAAAATCGCATGAGCAAATATTTAAAATGTCACTGCATTGTATGTTCCGGTGCATACATGTGTAAGTGGCAATATAGAGGGTATTTTGAAAATAAGGCAGCGTAATTAGTAACAACAAATTCATAAATTTCGCGAGGTGTGACCATGTGCAGAGGTGTGAAAAAAATTTCTACAAAGTTTACAAAAGAACAGTCACTACTTTACTTGGGTTTAATTATAAAACACAAAATGTTGTGATTGCACTACTTGGTGTATATGTATTGAGGTTCACATGTCCTTGTCGCTATAAGGTTTAATTTTGATTGCTGTCAAAATGTTCTTCAATGTTTTCTTTTCCAGTTTGTGTCACAGTGAATTAGCTTTGTCTAATCACAGAAGTGAATTCATCGAGCAGGCAATGACTTATCGATGTGTTGCTTTCTAGCTATGTTTTACAATAATAATTAGATGTCATGATGTGGTAAACAGCATTTGTGTCGCAATTCAGTAATTTAGTGATGCTGATATATCATCTTGACCGAAGACTGAACGTCATACTAGTTTATTCCCAAAATTGCAGCTCCAGATTTTAGAATGTTTTTTTTCACATTTTTTTTCTTACTTTTGAGAAAGGGCTGCAATATGTACTGTGTATTCAAAAGACATAACATTATTACATGGAATTGCCGCTTGAGACAAGTAGTCATTAACAACTATAATCGTGATGCAGGGAGGAAAATGGTTGTTTTGGGGAGGTTCATGTGACCTCATCAATATGCATAATTGTCATATTCCAAGCATTGTTGCAGATAAAACAATGCCAGCAGTGCAATATTGAAGACATTGGACAAGAGAAATAGTTATTATCATGCATAACTACATTATATCAAACACTGTTGCAGATTATACAATCAACATTGTACTAGAATTGTAACTAATATATCATTTGATTTATAAGCAACAATTACATATTATTAATAAAGCCTCGTTAATAGTGCTAATTCTTGTACATTGCTAATAAGCCACGCTGGGCTTGAAACCAGTCATTGCTGCAATGCAACTATATTTACTATTATCATTATTTTTGTTAAAACTGTTAACACATTGTCTGAAGACTATTTCCCCAGTGATTTTGTGGAGGCCAGCAGGAATGAACGGATGAGAATCAAAAACTTTTTTAAAAATCAAGGAATAAAATCATGTAGCCCATTAATTTTTTATTAATCACATCATTAAACAGTATTTTAACGTACACTAGAATTCAAAAACTATGTAACCAGTGTGATTTTTGCGAATACTAGAAATGGCTCAATTTTTGGAGCTATCATTTTTCATAATTGGATAATTTGATGGTATTTCATTGTCATATATCTCATAACAATGGGATTTCATTGTCATGAGATGAAATGTTCACTGCTAAAATATGTCACGAATTTCCAGGTATACAATATAGTAGTGAAACAAAAATAAAGCAATCTACAGTAATTTCATCCACTTCACCATATTGAGTCTAGGTGCATGGGCATGCAATGTTTAGTTACAATTCAAAAGACAGGTTGTCATTTGGTCATAAAGTTCAAACAATATATGAATACTAATTATTACTCTTGTTTTATGAATAGCTTACCTTTAGCTTTCTTTAATGATTTAAAAACACTAAAACTAGGTCACCAACAAGTGATGCATTTCAGCTGTTGGGATATTGAATGAATGAATGAATGAATTAAGGAATTAAGGAATTTATTTGTCTTCAATTCAAGGATTTGCCATAGAGCTAGATTGTTTCCTGGGTGATGTTGCTGTAAATATTTTTTCAATAAAATGTGTGTTTGATTTTTGTTATAATTATATTTTGCATTCTGAGGATAAAATGAATTTTACTTAAACGAAAGCTAAACAGGGTCTTCAAAGCACATTAAAGTTGCACAGCCTTATCTTATAAAGCTTTGGTAAATGTGTAACATGCTATCAATTTTACTGACAAAATGTTGACAATCTAAAAACGCTACGAGTTCTTGATATTTTGAGGGGTATCAGACTGTTCAGGAATGACAAATACTGGTAGTGTAAATTTGACATTATATGTATTGGCATTATAGCCATTTAAACATTGGAGTTCATGTAAAATGAATTGAATTCTAGCGTTTCTAGCCTTTAAGTCTGTGATGAATGAATTCTTCCTGCTCCAAGGC